ATCACCACTATAAATGAGGAGAGTTGACCTCCTTCATCCACTCCTGTAGATATGAGATTTTACAAGGATATACGATCTCCCTATGTAACAAATCTGCTTGATATGCATGGTTCTCGGCTTTGCATTTTGTTTTACACACCAATCTCGGAAACCTGAGATTTTGTTTTTCTATTCTTTCATTGCGCATGTGATGCTTTATCCAGATTTTTCAACATTTATTGGATATTCTAATAATTAAAGTGCCTTTAGATATTTTAATACATCAACCAAAAGAATTTTTATTCATATATTGGTTTTGTGGAATCTTTTTTTTTTTATAAATCACTTAACTCTCTTTTATCTAGCCTAATTTTTAATAACTTTATTAATTGGACCTCTTAAATTCATGAGTCACCTCATATTATAGCCTTTAACCATCAACTAAGCCTTAAAAAATCCTAAATGATGAGTAGTAATATCCGAAGAATATAATGTTTTATTATGAAATAATAAATAATTTTTTTATATCAAACGAAATCTTTATAGATCCATTAATAAGTATAAAACAAGTCTTATTATAAAGAGACTTCATCAACATCCTGAGCTTATACCATGACACCTTTAGCCTAGCTAAGAAGTCAAAAATAATTCATATTATTTTATGTCTTATCTTATTTAATAATTTGGGACTTTAATAGTTGGATATGAATAATATATTTATTTATGGATATTTTTTGAAGATGTATTTATGAGGCAACATTCGGGTTTTATTGACAATCTTTTTCAACATGTCTATAAGTTACATAGGACATTTTATGATTTTAAGCTGCTCCTCGTGATTGGTATCATGAACTTTAAACACAATTAGTCTAAGTTAGATTTGTATAATCCTTAATTTGATAATTTATTATTTATTTATTCTCATGAGATCATAATAATGTTTTTACTAGTTTATGTGGATGACTTAATTATTACTGATAATAAATCAATAATAATTTATTTATTTATTTAATAGCTGAAAAATAAGTTTTCAATCAACAATCTTAAGTCCTTCAATTATTTTTCGTGTTCAAGTCATCCACATGGCAAATGATTTAGTTTTTTTCTCAATAGAAGTATATTCAAGACATGGCAAATGATTTAATTTTTTTCTCAATAAAAGTATATTCAAGACATTCTTAATAGTACAAAAATGCTTGAAGCCAATAATATTATCATGTCAATCTCTATAAATGGTCCTCTTACTTGACAGTGGTAGTCTTAGTGATGTCATAGAGTATCGAAGTTGTTGATAGTAATATTTGGCGTTCACTCGTCCGGACATTGTATATACAATGAATAAATTATCACTTTCAACTATTGGACAACCTTTAAATACCTTCTTTGGTACTTAAAATACTATTGATCATTATTTATTTCTCCAAAAAGATTTTTCTCTGTTGCTTCATATATTTTTTTTATACTGATTGAGCAAGTAATAAGGATGACAACACATTTACTAGTGCTTATGTCATATTTCTTGTTCATAATCTAATCTTTTGGAGTTTTGAGAAATAACGATATATTACAAGATCTTCTACGGAGGTTGAATATCGAGCAATTGCTTTTATGACTATTGAATTTTTTTTAGATTCAATCATTGCTATATGAATTATTTATCACGTTCTCTAATCCTTCATCTATATATTATGATAATATCGATGTCACATATTTATATGCTAATCCAGTATATCTCACTCTTGAATGAAACATATAGCTATTAATTTTTATTTTGTTCATGATAAAGTTCAAAATGATGAGCTACTATCTTTCATGTATCATCTTCTAATCAACTTACCGATGCTATTACTAAGTCTTTATCTCGTCGGTAATTCATTCTACTTTAATTCAAAATCGAAGTAATTCATTCTATTTTAATTCAAGATCGATGTCTCTAATGAGAAAATCATCTTGTGAGGGGATATTAGAAAGAATATTATTAAAAAATCATAATAACATTATCATGATCCTATGAATATTTTGATAATATGTTATTATGATTTTAAATCATAAAAATTATGATAATATATTATCATTATTCTATCAATAATAAGGATCATGGCCTCAGATATCCTATATTATAAAATAATTTTAAATAAATATTTTATATTTATTATTAAATAAAAATTATTTAATTATTATATTGTATAATCTTTCTTTGTGTATATAAGTTGGAAGTATACAAGCATCTACTTCTGGAGTACACCCGAGGGATATTAGATGTCTTGAGTACTAAGTTTTCTTGCTTTATTCAGTAGTTTTATACTTTGATGCTCCAAGTTGCACCATCATCTACTCTATTTATTCAAGGAAATCATGTGTTGAGGAAGAAACCATGACTATAATTTGATGTAATGATGATATGCTTCCATCGGTGTTGGATATGGGGATATCTCCAGAAGAAATCAGAACAAGGCTACAGCTCCCAAGATCCAAAGTGCCAGTACTATCATCGGTAGCTTTTGGACAATGACTCTCTGTTGAAATGCTTGCCATGGTGTGATGTCTCGCGCACCGAGAGCTAAAAGCTGTGGTATGCATACCTTGCCCATGCTTCAGAAGTAATACCTTTTTAATGTACTCAGTGCAATTATTTTCGATCAATATTCTCTGCCATTAGAAAACACTGTGAGGACTTTTATATGCAAGGCTCAAATGGTACCTTACAAATCACACAGCAGTCCCGCAAAGCAGTTCTTGGTCTGGTTTGGTCCTACAAAGCAGACAGATATTTGACTTCTTTCTGAGAAGATTATTAATTTATTTTTCTTTCGATCCACATGAAAGCGAGTTTTGTTTAACTGCAACGATGTTACTTACAATAGTTAGTCAAGATTAAGTCTTGGCTTGATAAAGAATTTAGGTTCTTGAATGTCTTGCTCTCCACATGAAAGGGAAGGAAAGATAACTGTACCAAAATGCATTAAACTTTAGTGATGTTACTTACAATAATTGCTGCTACTGCCTTAATTTTCTTTTGCTTTTCTTGAATGGTGTGAGTTTGTTGATCTTAGATTGATGGCTCCTGAAAATGACCGAAACTTTTGTGATTGTAGTGAGAACACCAACTTTCTAGATTTTTTTTCTTCTTTGAAATAAAAACTATGCATGAAGTTAAACATCACTGTTGTTGTTTCTTCATAAGAAGTAATACTTCAAGTATTTCTTTGTCTTACTAAGATGTAGCAGAGTATTTGAAATTAGATCAGATGAGAAACACCATTAAGCATTATTTAATTGGTTTAAGGTGCCTCAAAATTAGATTTTAGTCCTTTTGTGTTAACTTGTGAAACATCTAATTCAAACAAATTGAACAGTGTGTATAGATTTGCTGATCTATTATTATATTATGTACAGAGCCAATTGGTAAATGGTAAGAGCGCTTTCCCTGCTAATATATGCATAAGCTGAATGGAAATTTTCAGAAAGGTCACTGAGTTCTCAGTCCACAAACATGATATGGTTGGCATTCAAAAGAAAGGTTTAATATGGTGGGATCAGGAATTAAACTATTTATGTGGCACTCTGTTCTTCCAATTCTCTGTGAACCATTAGGACCATCCAATATATATCATCACCATCTATCGTTTCATTCTCAAATATCAGACATTTATAATGACAGGTGGCACTTGTCATTGTGGGCTCCATCTACTTATATCATGCCTTAAATCTTGTCGACATTAGATTATTGATGGCTGAGATGTGATTAGAGGAGGAGAATTGGATGTTCACTGTTCAGGTGAACGACGACGTACGGTCAGCAAATCCTACTTCTTCGCGTGTCACAGTACTACGAAGCATAGGAAAAGAAAACAAAACCATCCATAAACACTGTGATGTTTCTGTTCTTCTTTCAGTGTTTGGAGTGTGATATGCGTGTGGAATTTGCAGATATAAATTGTTTTGTTACTGCGTTCAGTAATAGCTTCCGAGCTATGCGAACTTGAAATGAATTTGCTGTGAGCCACTGTCTCATCTTGAACTCTCTCTGCTTTGATTTGCATGAACCCTTTTATTCTGTGCATTGGATGACAAGAATGAGGTGTATTATTGATCTCTCTTTTTTCTTTACTACTACTCTTTTCAGATGATGTTATCTTAATAACAAGTTTGATATATCAAGTGATGAGATACTTTCCTTGCAAATTTCACTAGCTTTTTATATCATTTATTTCTTTCATTTTCATGAAACATATACAGTATAGTAAAAAATACACAAGCCTTCGTTATAAAGAAAAGAGAAAAAAAAAGTAAAAGATTATCAGAAAAAATTAAGTTAAATGTTTCAGTTTGATAAGTATAGGGATCTTAATATAATTTTTAAAAATATTATTATCGAGATATTAAAGATTATTATGAATCTTGACGGTATACAAGCTGGTCAGCTCACGCCGTTGGATTGGATTAGATCTAATTAGATATTTGATGGTAAACCCAGATAAAGAAACATCAACACTCTCAACATACTCGGTTCCATAACATGACTATATTATCCGTATGTATTTAGATGTGCACGAGTATCGAAGGCGTAAGGTTGACCATCGCTACTGGCTCCAAGCTGCAGATGAGATTCAAGTGGATTTGCTCAACGTCAACATCCTATTCATGACGGTCAGTGGTAGGTTCTGGAAAGGGGATGTGATATCGTCTCACGTCACATCCTATGCAAAGCTTTTACCTCCGGGCAACGCTGTGTGCAACCTCCGGGCTGTTTCATCTTGAACTCTCTCTGCTTTGAGTTCCATGAACCCTTTTGTTCTGTGCATTGGGTGATAAGAATGAGGTGTATTATTGATATCTCTTTTTTTCTTGACTACTACTGTTTTCAGATGAGGTTATCTTAAGAACAAGTTTGATCAATCAAGCGATGAGATACTTTCGTTGCAAATTTCAATAGCTTTTTTTTTTTTTTTTTTTTCATTTTCATGAAGCATACACAGTATGGTTGGAAAGTTTACACCAGCCAGAAAAGACCCTCGTCATAGTAAAACATACACAAGCCTTCGTTATAAGAAAAAGAAAGAGAGGCAGAAGATTACAAACGACGTGAAGTTATAAGGAAGCCACTATTAGAAGCCACTCTATTCACATCCAACTATTCGTATAGATTACAACTGAACAGCTAACACCACGTTCCATCAGGTGGACAGCCGGCGACGCCGCAGCCTGACCGTCAGTGGCGCCGCCATCTCGCAGGACAGACGCAGCACCTCCGAGAGGTCAACGCCAGCCGCCGATGCCGGCTGCCACTCGAACTCGTGCGCCAGTGCCGCCACCCACATCTCGACCGTCGCCATTGCCAGCCCCTTCCCGGGGCAGCTTCGCCGCCCGGCCCCGAACGGCGCCAGCCGCAGGTCCGAACCCGTGACCGGGAACTCGGCCGAGGGGCCCAAGAACCGGGCCGGCTCGAACCGGAGCGGGTCTGGCCAGGTGACAGGGTCGCGCGCGATGGCCCACATGTTGACCATGGCTGTGGTGCCCGCCGGCACCACATGGGCCCCGCCGCCGACGCGCGCGTCCGACGTCGCCATGCGCGCCCACGACAGCAGCGGGCCCGGCGGGTGCACCCGCAGCGTCTCCTTGATCACCGCCTGCACGTATGGCGGCGCTGCGAACGCCTCGGAACCCGTCACCAAACGGTCCGTCCCGACAGCCGCGTCCAGCTCCGCCTGCAACCTCGCCTGCACCTCCCTGTGCATCACCAGCCTCGCCAACACCCACTCTATCAGCACTGCCACGGTGTCCGTACCCCGAAATATCATCTCCTGCATGTAATTATTTCCCAGATCTTAAACAAAACCAAAGAAAGTAATCAACATCGTTAACTCATCTAATTAAACTATATATATATATATATATATATATATATATACGTAATAATGATCATATGAGGTAAGCTTTACCCAGAGGACGGCGACCATGTCGGGATCGGATAGCCTATCTGGGGCCTGCAAGGACAGCAAAACGTCCACGAAGTCTCGGGGGGCCGCCTCCGAGTCGCGCGCGCGCTCGACCCGGTGCTCCTTGATGATGCGGGTTACGAATCGCTTGACTCGGGGGACGAGCACGGAGCAGCACCACCGGACTCGTTGCAGGTCGATACCGGTGAGCACTGGCAGATGGTCCGACCAGTTGAGCTTCCCTAGGACCTCGTAGCCTTCTTCTACCATGCTCGTTAGCTCCTTCGTCTCCTCGCTCCCCCCCTGGAGCTCGTACTTCCTCCCGAAGACGAACCGCATGACGTGGTTGAGGGAGGCTTGCTTCAGGATCCTTCGGACCTGGACGGGCTCGGCTGCGAGGCCGTCAAGGGCGCGCACCATCTGGGCAGCTATCTCAGCACGGTAACACCCCAAAGCGGATACCTGCTTAGGGGAGAAGAGGTGGGTGGCCGCGATCCTCCGCAGGGTTCGCCAGTACGCGCCGTAGGGCGCGAAGCCGATGGCACGGTGAAACATGAGGCCGTAGGCCGATTCCTTGACCGGGCGGTCCGCGAAGTCGGGGCTGTTGAGGATGTCCCTGGCCACGCCCGGATCGCAGGTGACGACCACCCGGGTGTCACCGAGGCTGAGCGCCATGAGCCGTCGGGCTCCGGGGATGGCGTCCGCGACAGCCGCGAGCTTCCGGTGGGCGAGCCCGGACATGAGGCCCATGCTGCCGACAAGGGGGAGGCCGCGGGGCCCGGGGATGGCTTTGCCGAGGCCCCATGGCTTCCTCCTACTCCACCAGTACCTTCCCCAGGCAGGGCCTCCAGGGTAGGCCCAGTGGAGGAGGGTAGTCGCAAGCCAGCAAACTGCAACAATGATGGCAAGGGAGAGGAGGCGGATGGGGTAGGCGGAAAGCTCACTACATTTGGCGGCCAGGGAAAGCGACACGAGCCACCCGTTTTCTACGGAGGATCCCATGAGCAATGTATATATGAGCAGCACTCTCCAGCGTTTACAGAAGAGAAGCTCCGTGTGTCATCAGAGAAGGTCTCAGGCGTCTTATATAGCACCGGTAAAGGCAGAGAAAACCGAAGTCTAATAATAAACAAATCGCTGGAGTAAATCCAAAGAAAGGTTTCCTCACCGGAGGTAATTACGTTAGTGGCAGAAGCGCCGCCGCCATGAAGGGTCAGAACGAGATCGGTGGGTGCAACAACAAAGAAGGATAACGAGATGGACAACAACAGCGGGGGCGCGTGGAGATGCGAGCCACGCGGGAATTTCTTGGCGGTGCGGTCTCGGGGCCACAGGGGACCGGGACGAGGACCGACGAGGACGGAGACGGCGCGCACGGGAGCCCCCACGCGACGTGGCCCCCACCTGGCCGACGTACGCCGTGCGGTACCTGGCAGGAGATCGGTACCGTATCGTGGTCTAATTAATATCAGCTATTAGTGCACAGTATCGGGATATGACGAAGCAACAGCAGGAGCGGCACATAATTCCAACACACAAGAGCGCTGGTGCTCCAGGCTTGACGATGGAATTGATCTGCGAGGGCGACGAGAACGTGGCACGTATAAACCTGTGAAAAGGATGCAAGGCTACTTTCGAAGCCTACTGAGAGGTAGGGTTACATTCGACTTCTGGTGTAGATTGGAGTCAGCTCTAGCTCCAAAACCATGGTTGCAACTGAGCTCCCTTCCCCCACTTGTCTTTGATCTTAAGCCTACTTGGTACTTTATGCATGTTCATCCTTCCCTTCTTTCTCTTGCTTCTTGCATGAGCCCAGAAACGTGTTTAAGGAACTGCATCATCTCAACTCCAACCACTGCCTTGGAGTTGCACACTGGCAGGCAACGTGCATGGCGCTTGCAAACCAACATCCTCCTGGGAGACGACATCCTCCCTAGTTGGAGCTTCTTCGATCCCGACCTCCAGCTTCGTATCATCGAAGTCCTAATTATTTTCGTAATGCATAGCGCTTGCTGTAGTTTCCGTAAGTTTACCATAAGAATTTGAAGGCCTAAACTTGTTTACAACTTAAAATCAAATCCATACACTTACACAACACGAAAAAGATATATCCAAAATGATCGCAAATAACATCAGTGACATGTTGAACCCTCAAATACAAATAAGTTCATCAGAAATATCCCGTCAAAGTATTATTGCATCACAAATATCAAGAGTTCAAATCATAATAATATAATTTATTTCCTTGAGGTGAAACCAAAACCAATCTACTTTCTCGAGATCTGAAAAATTTTAACGATAGAGATACGAGCAATCACAGCTTAGTAAGCACCTAAAACACATATTATATATGTATTTTAGAAAACATAAGATAAGTTTCAGCATAATCTTCGAACACATTTGCATGACAAAACATAAACGGATAGAAATTATTTTAATTGCAAAAAGTACCATTAGCTAATCATAATTCTATAACTAAGCTTTTAAATCTAATTTCAAATCAAAGATGAGTGTTTAGATAAATTGTTATATCTAGGGTTTCAATTTGTATAACCTAGACTTCGAATTTATCTATAATTTTTTTTTATGATTCTCTTGAAGTTCTAAATCCTCTGGAATCATCTTAATCTGAAATTAAAGCATATAGTTATTATTGTTTCAAATCAAAACATATCTAAAAATCACAAATAAATTTAAACCAAAACTTAGGATAATGATTCACGCTTTCAGATTCTTTTATATTATTCACTTCAATTTTATTTACATATTATATTTGATTCTTGATCAGTTTAAATCTATATTTTATTTTCTTAAATTTTAAATTAACTTTTTTGATTAAAAAATAGACCTTTTCGATTAAACACATCCCCCTTCCCCTCCCTTTTCTCTTTCTTATTTTTATTTTTTTTGCCTTTTTTTCCCCCAAATTCCCACGCACGCCACTCCTCTTGCTCTCTCTGGCAACTTCCACGTAGGCACACGTCACCTCTTATCTTCTCTTTCCCGTGCACAATCAACCGAGCGAACCGTGGTGCCCTGCCGCACCGAACGAACCACGACGGCTTGCTGAGAACCGCGGCAAGCCGTGGTCATAAAACGTCGGGTCGGAAGCAGCTACTTTAACGGCGTGGGATAAAGATGGGATTGCCGTTGGAGAGGCGCAGCCGCAGTAACTGCACTTTTCTCTATTCCTCTCCACGTCGATCGTTTCATGCTCGTAACGGGGACCGCGACGCGGATCGTTCCTTTCCGCCGTTAAGGTAGCCACTAACCCAACACCACCCGACAAAGACCGGGCCATGCCGACGTCACGCCACAACAGCGGCACGCCGTTCCCCTCCCCATCCCTCGTCACACGACCTCCCACCCCAGACGTAACGTGCCGTGACGTGTTAAACGACCCGTCCATCGTAACCGCTGCATTCTTATGGGTATATTTTCCGCATCAACGCCTCTTATGTCGGCCGAGCACTCATGAATGGCTGTGGGTCCCACGACTTCCGACCCGACGTGGACTACTCGGTTGATTGTGCTCTGGGACGGGGGAAGATAACAGGTGACGTGTGTGTACGTGGACATTGCCAGAGAGGAAGAGAATGGCGTGCGTGTGGGAATTTTGGCAAAGAGGATGAGAAGAGTAAAAGGAAAACCGAGAGATAAAAGACAAAATAATAATAATAATAATAAGGGGGGCTTGCTGTCGGCAAGTGATAAAGGAGAAAGGAAGGAAGGAAACGTGAGGTTAGGAGAAATCGAAGAAGAATATATCAAAAGAGTTTATTTATAATTAAGAATATAAAACATAGAAGATTTAAATTGATCAAGAACCAAATGTAATACGTAAATATGTAAAGAAAATTAAATTAAATGATCTAAAAGAACCTCTTGTTGCGCAAATATGATCGAAATATCACCCCAAGATATAATCGCAATTATTCACCTACGTGCATGAACGTGGGAAGGGAGGAAGATCTTCCAACACCAACAAAATCAAGAAGGGAAAAGTAAAATTGAGAAAAAGAAAAAGTAGAAAATAATAACAAAATATTCTTCCAAAATCTCTACACCAATTGTCATAGAAAACAAGGCTTTAATAGCCTCAAACCATAAAGTGGCCCCTAGGAATTGCTCTTGAAAGAGATGCGCAATAAAGCTTTAGCAGATCCTAGAAATAACGCAAGGAACATTATAACCCAGCAAAAAAGGTTATAGGATAAGATAAAATAGGATAAATTGTAAATAATTTTGAGTTTTTTCCAACACATCCTCCCTATAATTTTGATCCCTTTCTGTCTATCCTAAGATAAAAATCTCATTTTAATCTAAAGATCCTCACGAAGAATTTCTTCCCACTGTGAGAAAAAAAAAAAGACGAAGTTATGAAAAAACACATATCAAAACACCATAATACTTTTTTTTTCTCAATATACTTTCTTTTAAAGTAATAATTACATCTAAGTCTCAAATAAATTTGGTTGGTATTATATTATTTTCATAAGAAAAAACTTAGTCCTTTACCTTATATGTGTGTTGTCACGATATAACAAATCTTTTTCAAAGTGAATTTATCTAACTTCGATTGGATGATTTGAATCTTGAATATATTTCCTCATCATTCACAAATGAGAAGCACTATAATCTTTTCTTTTCTTTTTTTTACCTCAAACGATTTAATACATCTTTAGCTAAAATTGCCACCTACTCCAAATGTCATCATGATATTGCTTTAAAAATCTTAAAAATAATTATTTATGATCTGATACTTCAATTCATATCTTCGAATATTAACGTAAATGCTTTGTGTGCTTTGAGCTGCGTGTGTTATCTTAATCAAATTAATCTTCTATATGTTAAACCTCAAAGATTTTCTTTGTCTAATATCATTATTCTTATAAATTCTTCGAACCTGTCATAAAATCCATAAAGACTATATTTCCTTTTCAAATGTATTTTGATATTCCAATTTAATTGATAGACAAATAAGACATACAAATAAATATATTCTGAAAATTTCTCTTTCTTTCAATCAAAGTAATCCAAATGTTAAGATTAACCACATGAATCTCTAATTCACACCAATATGATCTTATGCTTAACTTCCTCAATTCTTATAAGACACATAATTTAATGATGATCATAACTGTTAAAGTCATTTCGACTCTTTCAACTAAATGTATCAACAATAACATTTCAGTGATGATGTTCATAATCTTTCAATAATTTAAATCATTATCTTCACCTCAAATCTTAATTCAGTGCAAGTATAGGTACATATATAGATATCTCGCATTCATAATCATGCTATTAATATCTACATTTTCAAAGTAAAACTACCTCTTGCTATATTAGGATATGAAATTCAATCATAACTCACAATATGATCATTTGACATCAAAATAAATTTCAATAGTAATCTCAACATTAGGGTCTACACGCATGCACGCACACACGCATACATGCATGCGCATATGCATGCACAAGCACACACGCGTGCACACGCACGCGCACACACGCACGCACACACCCGCGCATGCACACATGCGGACGCACGCATGTGCACGCACACACATGCACGCGTGCACACACACAACATTTTGTATCATTTTTTATTCACAAATAGGTTTACACAAAATATTTTGTATCAATTTTTATTCACAAATAGGTTTAAGGTATTAAATAAGAACAATTGAATCTAAAAAAAATTAGCAAACAATTATTATAGTTGTTTCATTATTTCTTCCGGTTCAATTAATGTCATTATATCAGGAGTCTTCATTGTGAATCAATATCAGGTATTAAATCAATAATAAATTCAATCTCTATCTAATGATAATTTAATCAATTCTTCCAAGAAACAATAATGTTAACATATCATAATAATGTTTGTCAGGTTCATATTACCATGATTAAATTTTAATATAATTAAATAGGCTCCAAATATTTTTCAAGAATCACTAAATTAAAAGAGTAGGTATCAAGATTAGTTTATAATGGTTTGATGATTACGCTACCGTCAACTTCAACCTAAATATTTTGGATCAATAATTCAAGCTCAACAAAATTAATATGCTTATTATCCCATCAGGTCGGGTCTTGTTAATTTTTTATGTCAATCCAAATATGATTCCTATAACTTAACTTTGATATATGTGTTCTTAGATATGTTCATCACTTCATTGTTGAATCA